GGTCCTTTGTAGCATTTTAAGGACAGTTTTTCTTGAAGAACATGAGGATTCATCAGAGGTAGGACTGGAACTGCCATTGAGAACACAGACTGGGAAAATGAACCTGCCTGGATAGCTGATGATCAGAAACAACTCAAAGCCTTCTATTACTTGCTTTTCAGCTCAAACATCTCTTTAGATGTTCTTCAACCATGATCCCATTTTAAATGCTAGATGAAAGAGGAGATTTGATTTGACAGAACTTTGATGCCACGTATTTGGAATAAATACATCTCACAACAGTATCTGGATCTTCCTTTCAGCTTTCCAGAAGCCTACTTTCAAGTCTTCTCCATTTTGTCCTGTTATGGAGCTACTCTTATTTAAGCATGATAGAAACTAAATAAATCAGACAAAAAGGAATCAAGTTGAGAGAGTGTTTTCAAAAACAAGAAACTATGGTAGATGTTTTCTTAGAGGATTCTCTATTAACTGATGCTTGTGTTTATTGTGTAAAATATCCCAACAGATGCCCACAGCCTGCTACATACTCACCATTCTCTACTATGCTGGTATCTCCCTACATTTGCATTGTATATATACCAAGATTTTGTCATGTTTACAGGGAAGCTGGATTGGGCAAGTGTATTTGTTACTGCAGTGATCTAATTTGATCACATTTTGCCAATACTTATTAAAATACAATTTTGAATGAAAATTATTTTCTCAGTAAAAACTAAGAATTTTCAGGAAAAGAATATAAAAATGAATCTCAAAAATAATTACTGTTGGATTAGTTGTGGACAGATGGGAAAATCTGGGATAATTTTGCACTCAAATTTTTTGAAGAACATATTCAAGTTCTTGCTCCGTTAAAAAAAAAAAACCTAAAACTGGACATTGTAGAGTGAAACATAGGTATGTTTTATGAAATAAAAATAATATGGAACTCCAGTTAATCAAACCATGATTAAAGGAATTACCAATAAAGGAATGGAATATAAATCATTAGATATAAACATAATAACGTTGTTGGATCTTAAAAACATAGTGCTGAATGAAAAAGCAAGAATTAAATAAAAACTATAACACAGTACCATATGTATAAGTTTAAATCATACACATGAAACAAAAATACATATTTCTAAGAATTCAAATGAAGAAAAACATGTACATTAAACTTACAAGGTATCACTGCCTTTGAAGAAGAAAAGAGATGGGAGTAGGAAAAGGAAGGAAGAGAATAAATATACATATAAAAGCATACAAGAGAAGACCCTTGTATTGGAAAATAATGTTGATTTGTCATGAACTGAGGAGATGTTCCTCCCCCTCGCTCTCTCAAATATCATGAACCTAGAAGACAAGAGAGGAGATGAGAGCATTCGAGGGAGGACAAGAGAATCTTACAGTTGGGACAGCAATGGATCAGTGTGGTAATTGTCTTCACAGACCAGAGGAAATGGAAACCTCAGTGCTTGCTGTGGGAGAAACTCAGAGGCAAGCTGATTCTTGCTATAGAAGTCCAACAGTCTCAGCAGCAGGAGACAGCAAGTATGTCTGGAGGCAGGAGTGCAAGTACAATTGGGAATGGGATTGATTGAAATTCTGCTCAAGGAACAGTTAATATCTTGGGTCCCTTCCTTCATTGTAAACAGTCAGGCAGCTTCCCCTCCTCCCTGCCAAGAAAGTTAAGAAGTTAACTTTCTAGAGCTGAGGATGATCACAGTTAAGTTGGAGTGGGAAGGAGTGCATCTGAAAATTGGTGAATAAGAAAAAACTAGTCTGTATTGAATGGTGCCTCTCTTCAGCAACTCTTTCCCTCTTGCATCCCAGAACCTAGCAACTAAGTTTATAACCTCACCTACCTCCGCGTTTAGGACACTGGAGAATCTGATACAACAAGCTGAATAGTGACAACGGAAGATCTGTCAATGAAATGGTTCAAGGTCCTTCTCTACCACCACCAAGTGAACAAGCCAACTTGATTCATAAACATGGAACTTTCAATAAGGTTCTTAGCATTTTACTCTTGTGACCACCTCGTGGGGAGTCAAGGATCATCAGAAACCAGAAATCAGTTTTAAATAGTAATTTTGCATTTTAAAAGTGCTTTCTGGATTATTTGCTATTTTAAATTATCCTTGCCTTTTGTCCTCTTTCCCTTGTTTAAGATTTTGCCTGGGATTCTTAAATTAAACGAGGACCTATGTAAATCTTCACCACATTCCCTGACTTAAGTCAGACTGAAAAGAGAGAAAATTGCTTTTGGTTTAGACACATATTGACTGGGATCTAGGTTGGAGTATTTTGTCATCTGCTGTTTTGAGTGTGCATGCATGTGTGCATGTGTATGCATATGTGTGCCTATGTACCTATGCATACACACATACTCATGTTCCACTGCAAACCAGAGAGTGCTAGTTAAGCTTTTTGAAAGGAAATGCACCAGACTTCTGGTACACTTGGGCTTTTCTTCCTGAGAAATCAGGATTTGGCAAAGCAGTCAGAACCCTAGAGGAGAGGCCCTGTCTGCTGAACTCAGAGCCATCCATGTGACCATCCAACAGAGGCCTACCAGTTTTGTTATCAGTGAACATCTTGGCTGATGAATTAAAATCTGTGTATAATCTCTAGAGAATATATCTAGCTTTAATATAGGAAAAGAGAGAGGGAGAGAGAAATATCTGAGGAAGGACTTTCTTATCAGTAGCTTTGGCTTTCCCATTAATCTTCCCTTGTGCCCATGATGCCCTTGTACACTGTTATCTTTAAAATGTAAGCTGGAGGTACTCCTACAGGATGATTGATTTGTTCAAATTTCCCTCTCTTAGCCTCCTATGAAAAGTACAAAGACAAATGTTCCTGTGGTAGACCAATACAAAAACACTCCTAAGCTTCTCAGGAAATGTGCTAACCATGTCTTTTATTTTCCACCCATGAAGATACTGTTCAAATGTAAACCCGTTCTCACACCTTGAGCTACTATCCAGCAGCCTAATCACCCTAGGGCTAGGTTTCAGACAACCAGGGGTGGCCCTCTTTGCCCCAGAGCCCACTGAAGTTACTTAACCTAAGCCTCTTACCCTGTCTCTCTCTTTTCTTCCCATGGAAACCAGAATAAGGACACTGGCCCATGTTTTTCCCTACTCACTTTGCCTCCTGCTGACTCTGGTGCTTCTCTGTGTGGCCCTCTGTGATATGGTATGCCCCCTCTTCGTGGGAACTATGAGTAACAAACTGTCATTTCAGTGGCAATCATCTCCTGATCTTTTGGTCTTACCATGCATAAGTAATAACAAAACCAATTTAAGCAGGGAGAGCAAACTATACTGAGTGGCAAATCATAAGAGACCATCCCTTGAGGTGTAATTCTTCCATGAGACTTTCCCTCACTTTATTAACTTACAATGAACTTTTCCTCCTGTGAACATCCAACATTATTGCCTGTGACCCTCATTTGACATTTAAACATGTTACTTCATGATACCATATATCTGTTGTTTAAATTTCTGGTGTATGATTGTGTTCTTCCAATTGAAATATAAATTTCCTCAGGGTATAATTTTCAGTATCTTCACTATGAACTGGTGAATGAATGAATGAACAGATGTAACTCACTAAATTTGATCCAAAACTGACAAAGATCTTACTTTTCCTTTCTGAACTTTCTCTTTGCAGATAACTTTTTATGATTGTTATGAACCCCCAGATTGCAAAACTTCAAACAAATAAATTCATAAGCCTAATAAATACCAAATTATTTCCCTGAACTTATAATCTCATATAATTGTCTTAAGCATCCATAACTTGTTTGCTGTCTGTAGGAAGAGGAAAGCAATATTGGGTGCTAGTTAAGAGCACTGTTTTGGATTCAGACAGACCTGGTTTAAATCCTAGCTCTACTACTTGTTTGTTGTGTCTTTGGGCAAGTTACCTGACCTTTTTGATCCTCAGTTTCTTCACCTGTAAATTGGGGATAACAATGCCTATCTGAGTGAGATTTTATAAAGATTATATGCCTAAAGTTGTTAGCATGGTACTGGCATATGAAGGATGCTCAGTAAATAGTGTGATTGTACATCTTGCTTTGCCTGGGACACTGTTTACTCCTGTTGTTGCAACATAATTATTAATAGCACCCATTTTTTTTACCCAAGGTTCCACATTTGGACAATAAATTTCCTATCAGTGAATGTGTTTTTTTTAACTTCTTATGCTGATGATTACTTAAATATATGTGAGATGAATATATATTTATAAATTAATATATGATTATATTGGGGCTTTGCTATAATCCTTTCCAATAAAGTCCACCTCATCCCTTTGTCTCCATTGTTGAGAAGCAGAGTTTGGTACAGTGGCCAGGAGCACCAACCCAGGAGCCAAACGGCCTGGTCTTGAATCCCAGCTGAGCATGTTCTACCTGTGTAGCCTTAGACAGTCCATTTACTTAGTATGTCTCAGTTTTCTCATCAGTAAAAAGGGAACAATATAGGCAGTACTTTTATCATATGGTGTCATGAGGCCAAAAATATGTAAGTATATGTAAAAATGCTTACAACACTATCTAGCACATAGCAAACTCTCTGGGGGCAGGTATTGTTGCCTCTATGTCAATGGCAACCAATCTGAAATCAGCTTGATTCTGTTTCCTGTGAATTGCTACTGGTGTGGAAGGTTGCCCTAATACTGCCTTGAGTTCAGCTATAAAGTCTGCGTGAATGTCTTAGATGATAAAGCTCTTAGATGATAAAGATAGAGGAATTGTGTACAGTAATGTGTGATTCTCTAGGATATAAATGTGTTTTGATAGTGTTATGGACTGAATTATGCACTGCCCCCATTCATATGTTGAAGCCCTAACCCCTACCAATGTGACTGTAGTAGGAGATAGCACTGTTAAGGAGGTAACTAAAGTAAATGAGGTTATGAAGGTGGGATTCTAATTTGATAGAACTGGTGTCCTTATAGGAAGAGAAAGAGACACTAGAGATCTCTCTCTCTGTGTGCCCACGCAGGGAAGAGACCTAACAAAGTGAGAAGGTGACTGCAAGTCAAGAAGAGAAGTCTCACCAGAAACCAACCCTGGAAGCACCTCAGTCTTGGACTTCTAGCTTCCAGAAATGTGAGAAAATTATGTGAAGCCACTCAGTCTGTGGTATTTCATTATTGTAGCCCACGCAGGCCAATATAGATAGAAGAGTGTGGTCAAAAGATTAAATGTGAAAAGAAAAATTGTGTATCATTTAGGAATTGGACTAAGAACATTGGAGGAGTCCTTTATTTAGGGGGGGAATTACTAGGTCAAGGATGCAAATGGAAAGTTGGTATTGGAAATGTATGAATCTGTTCAAGGATGATACAAAAGGAAATAGTGAGGGCTGTGATCAAATCAGACAGTGCATGTCCTGTTTTAAGGCACTGAAATTCTAGTTCTCTAAAGCCCCCATACAGGTTAAACGGAATACATCAATAAGGCACTGGTCCTTTGGCCCTGCTCTAGTGAACGTCTTTGGAAACACAGGTGAGTTGGATTGTACTCTGGACAGCACTGAGATGGGGTTTCATGGGTGAATAGAATCTAAACAAGCAGAGCAATAAGGAGAGAGCGTTCCAGAGAGGAAGAATGATAGCAGAACTGACTGCTAGCATTGTTATGTGACACAGGTAGATGTTTTTTCTGGGTTCTTTTAAGGTAGTTAATTTTGGAATAGAGGCACCATATAAAGAAGACTGGAAAATAAGAATGGAAAAGTTTAGATTGTGTTTGGCTACAAATTCTGGAACAATACATGTGGACATTAGGTGATTCATTTGAGCGAGAGAAGGCTATCATTAAAACCATATTTCCAATGAACCTTAAGTACTGGTTAGTATGCTTTAGAGGAAGAAGGAATTGGAGTGAGTTCCTCTGACTGCACACATTCAAGTACAGGCTGGTTTGTCACTTAATCAGAGGTGGTATATTGTAGGTAAGCAAATCACCTGGGGATCTTGTTAAAATAGGGTCTGATTCAGCAGATCTGAGATGAGGTCTGCGCTTCTACGTTCTGAACACACTGATGATGCTGATGCTGCTGGTTCCTAACACACTATAAGTTGTGAGGAAATGAATGACCTCTAAATTCACTTACAAACTGTAGTTCCTTGATTTTACTACCTATCATGCTGAGAAACAGGCTGAAAATTTGCATTCAATATCAACTTGAGTCGTTCTGCTTGTCCCTATTCATGAAATTGTGCATTCCAGAACGCCAAGTCAAACCATGCAAAAAAGGATTAAACACAGCTCCTTGCCTTGCAGTTACCTCACCACACACTGTGAGTTTACAGGAGCAAGGAGAAAATAAGCACAAGATTCCAGAAAGATTGGAACTAGACTTGAGTTTAATGATGAAAGAAACTTTGCAATCTCCAGAAAGAAAGATATGAAAGAAAAACTGTGGGACTTAATCATAGATTAGTTTTGTTTTGTTTAAGGATATGGTTTAACTATGTGGAATCTAAAACAAAAGTCAGACTTATAAAAACAGAGTAGAAAGGTGGTTGTCAGGGGCTGGAGGGTATGGGGAATAGGGAGAGGTTGGTAAATGAGTGCAAACTTTTACCTATAAGATGAATAAGTTCTGAGGATCAAATATGTAATATGATGACTCTAGTTGACAATACTGTGTTGCACAATTGAAATTTGCTAAGACAGCAGAACTTAAATATTCACACCAAAAAAAAAAGATGAATACATGAAGTGGTGAATATGTTTATTACTAGATTAGGGGAAGTCTTTCACAGAGTATACATATATCAAATCACCACAACCTGCATTTTAAACATCCTACAATTTTGTATGTCAATTATACCTCAGTAAAGTTGAAATGAAAAAAAGAATATCATTTGGCTTTATCAGTCAGTATAAAACTTAATCCCACCACATCATCAAATAATTCTCCTGAAGCTGCATGTGAACCAAATATTTTCTTAAATCATTTTTTCCCAATGGTTCTTTTTAGACTCTGAGGTCATATAGGAAATACTTCTTCAACAGCATGTTAAAAATATTTAAGAATCGAAACCTTTCATTTTAAGGAGTTTTATGCCTAAATGCTTTTTTACTTGTAATTCTTTTACTATCACTTTTATGAAGTTGGTTAAAATTGTTATTTTAATTACTCACCAAAAGCACTTTTGGTTGTTTTATCTGTTGAAAAGGGGTGAAGTTGATCTTACAGAGGAACTGAGATGAAAGATAATGGTGAACAGAATTATTCTTAATATGAAATATTAGGAATGGGTGATTATCAGATAGAACATAGTGAAGTTGACTTGTTTCAAAATCAAAGAAATACTGAATTTTATCAATGGGAGTAGGTCATATGATTTCTGTTTATATAAAGTAACTTGACTATAGAATAGAGGAATTTAAGGAAAGAAAAATATTCTTTGAAATCATGTATTCCATTGCCTTCATTTTACAAATGAGAAAATCAAGGCTCAGAACATTTAAGTGATTTTCCCACGATCACTCAGTATATTAACAGCAGAGGGAGGGATGCCATTCTGAACTGTTTCCACAACACCATATTGATATATTCTGGATAACCAATATTATCACCATTACTTAGATAAATGTTATCCCTCAGTATGCCCTATCATTTTAGGAGAGTGAGGTAAGTAATACCTCTGTATATTTGGAGAAGATTTTACTGAGGAGGAAGTCCTTTAGTTTGTCAATAAAAAGTTGCATAGCAAATGAATAAGCAGAAGGATGAAGGAGGGATTTTAGGACACAAAGGTGACAGACAATGTAGGTAGCAAAGTACAAAACACAAAAGCAGAAGTAGCAGGAGATAATTCTGGGACCTGAGGATACTGACTAGCTGGAAGTACTGGGTGAGAGGGTGGGGCTAATGATCAAAGATCTAAGAAAGCCTGGTGAGCAGCTGAACTTAGTGCCAGGACTTAAGTGAATTTAACGTCATAGTGCAGGGCCAGCACCAGTGGTGTGCTGGGACCAAGAGAGCCAATTATATGTTTCTTCTGCCAAATTGGACTCTAGCAACATCGTATCAGCAAACTTGAAACTGGCCACAATGGAAGTATTTACACTATGGAAATCAGCAAACACTACTACCCAGAAATGTTTTTCTTCCTGGAGAGCCAGTGTAGCAGCATATCTAGAAAAAATGAAAGTCTGTGTTATATAGCTGGAGACAATGCAGAAAGAAGGAGAAATTGAGAGGAGGTCTGGGGGCACCCTGTTTGTTGAGAAGGTTTAGAGGCATGTTCTCCATCCAATATTCACAGTATATATTAAGCACATGTCCATGGTTCCTTATTTTCTGGGTCCCAGAGATCCTGACCTTCATGTCATTCAATCTGATACCATTCAGAACACTGAATTTTTCAGGCCTTGGCTCAATTCCAAAGTTCTTCTGGTAGGATGAGAATGAGCAGCCCCATTAGGAAAAGAATAAGCTAAGAAAAAGAGAGTCTGAACACTGAAAATAATTTTGTGTTACATTAAACTCTAACATCTGCCATGCCTTAGGCAAGATAAGATTTCCACAAAAGATTACTGCTACATTTACTCCTGTCATATAGAAGGCTCCCAGCAAACTTCACATCATGATTTTTTGTCACCATCAACCCATCACCAGCAGCAGCAGCAACATTCTCATTTATTGAGTTCCCCTAAGTCAAGTCCTGTTCTAGCAATTCAATAGTTATTAAGTGGTTACTATGTGCTAGGCTTGTACTAAATTAGTGGTTCTCAGTTTTCTTCAATCTCAGGAACCCTTTACACTCTTGGAAATTTTTTTTTTAGACTATAAAAAACTTTGATTATGTGAGCTATAGCCAGTGATATTTACTACATTAGAAAGTAAAACTGAGATATTTAAAAATATGTGTTCATTAACTCTTTTAACAATAGTGTAAACCCATTACATGTTAACATAAAATGCATTTTTATGTGAAGAACTATATTTTCCAAAGCAAGGAAGTTAGAAGAGTGATTTTGTTTTATAATTTATAATCTCTTCAATAGAAGGTGGCTGGATTTTCTCATAGTTGCTTCCACATTCTATCTGTTGCAATATCTCTTATCACGTAGATTCTGGGAAACTCCATTCTGCACCCACGTGAAAATGAGAGGGAAGAAATAATGTCCTAGTATTTTTTACTAAAATAGTTTTGACCTCATGACCCCCCTGCCCGAGTCTTGGGGATTCCCTAAAAGTCCCCAGACCACACTTTAAAAACTTCTGTACTAAACTGTATATTTTAAGAGTGGAGTCAAACCTCTCTCACACTCATGGAACTTACATTGTAAGGCTAAGTCTCTTATATGCCTATTTAAGCTCACAACAACCCTATGAAATGGATGCTTGTATTGCTTCCGTTTCCCACATGAGGAAACTGAGGAACAGAGAAAATACAATATTGAGGTGCTATTGACAGAATTCAGTGTCAGAGCTGGGACTCAACCTAGAGATGATGCTCATATCCACTACACAACCTGCTTCCTAAAGCATGACACAAAGAGCAAAATTCTTACCCATTTTTCAAAACTTCCATATGGGTAAGAAGGTTTAATTATCTTTTGAAGAGATCCTTTACAAAACAACATCTAATCCAGTAGCTGCTACTACTATTCTGTCACAATGAAAGTATTATTTCAAGGCAAGCCTTTCTTTTTGGGAATGATGGCAAGTGGCTGGGGTGGCTGTTGTACTCTGAGGATTTGGAAGTGGAGGAGAAGAATGTGTGTGGGAGAGTGTGTATGGCCAGGAAACTGTGGTCTTCAAACCGAGCCCAGCTATATAGATAGTAAAAAAGGAGAAATTTCATTTGTCTCTAGTTAGCCAGAAGAGTGAGGTGCTATGGCCCAGAGGACTCTCTGCATCCCTAATGATTTCTTCCTGGCTGCACAGTGTGGTGGCACAAATTAATAGCTTTTCTCTTTTGTGGTTATACAATAGATCTACGTGCTACCAACCACTGTACTTATGGGAAATAATGAATTACAAATCTCATTATTGTCACATGACCAGGGATGAAACAGTTGGTAACTATAACATCATTGTAATTTACTGGAAAAAATTCTCAGGAGTTTTATAAATACAACTGTCTTTACATATAATCTCTACTTTTTACTACCTCCATACCATGCACATGAGCTTCTCAGGTATAACTACCATAGAATTCTTTCAAGAATTACAAGGTCTGGAAAGAATGTCCAAGTATCTATCACCCAGCTTTTCTTCACCATTCAAATACTACAATAGAAAGAGCATGAGCTTTGGAGTCAGAGGTGAAGGTGTAACTGCAGGATCTGCCAATGATGAATTGTATGATCTTAAGTAAATGAGCTTCTGAGCTTCAAGTTTTTCCCTCTACAAATTGGGGAGGACAAAATTGGTCTCATGGGAACATTGTGAGGCTTAAATGAGACATTAAGGAAGGCACAGTCCAGTT